CTCATGTGACATTTAGGTTAAATCCGAGATAAACAAGTTGTGAGACCTCAGAAGGATACTACGTCCTGTAACTTTCATCTTCCTGTGAAAGTTCCTCTGGCACTGAGGGCGTTGCAAAGTTGCAACATCTGAGGACTTCGCAGAGGTTTATTTATGACGTCGTAGGTCAGTGACCTGACCTGACCTGAAAACGCAGTTGAGGTCAAAAGATCCAATTTGAATAAAAGATTAGGTATACCAAGTTTCAGCTGTCTACCCTAAGCGAGTTTTAAGCTATCGCGAAAAGCCCTATGAGGCGGCACCCGCCCCACCCCTTCTCGGCCGACGAGGGTTAATGTACTAGTTCATGTACATGTATGCGCAGATATAGTATCATCTCAGCTGAAATATATCTCTAATTCATGTTCGACACATTCTAGTGTTGTTACAAAAATTAACTCATTATATTTTCAATTTATTTGACTATTATGCCTGACGAATATTTATTTTTCAAAAAATAGGTGCTATCTCCAAAATGGAAATTTTTCGGATCTCGGGGACCACACCATCGGATTCCTTGCAAAATTTTGGTCCAGAAAACACTAACATTGGAGATAGGTATTTTCAAAAGTTATTTACCGTCTTTTGGGGCAATGTGTGCGGTCAGCGGAGGACACTGGTCCGGTCAGCTGCGGTCACTGGTCCGGTCAGCTGGGGTCAGCTGGTCCGGCCAGCTGCGGTCAGGGGGGACGCTGGTCCGAGGTCCGGTCAGCATTGGTTATTGGTCCGGTCAGCTTTGGTTCACTGTCATCTGCATTTTGCGGTCACTTTTTCGGTCTGCTGTGATTATTGGTCCGGCTAGTTATTGTCACTGGTCCGGTAGTCTCTCTGTAGGCAGCTGCATTCGCTGATCCGGTAAGTTGTGGTCACTGGTCCGGTTGTCTGTAGTCAGCTGCGGACTGCGGTCACTGGTCCGTTCATTGGTCCGGTCGTTCGTACCGAGACCTCTCTTAGGTCACGGACTAGTCACTGTGGATCACGCCGGCGTGATCATTCTGGATTTCACCGATAGCCAGCGGGACACGGAGAGGCTAGAGAACTTTGAACCAGACTTACCGACTACCGAAGGTATCTACTTGGGCTCACGTCCAGCACAAAGTGACCCTGGCAGTCGGCGCACTCCTACGTCCCAATCAACAAACTGATTCTTGTTTATAGTATAAACACCGGGAAATACGAATCGCGAATCGGCGAATGCATATTTGGCTTCGTTAATAACGCTGAACGAATGAGTGCAAATGCGTACAAAGCATTTTACCAATAAACAGCATGGCGTAATGTGTTTTCAGCCGTAGTGCTTCCTCTTGTTGACGCTCTCGTCCTCTTATTTACGCCTTTCGTTGATTCCTGGCGTAATTCGGCCACGCCGACAATACAGCAGCGGGCAGGACTGCCTGATCGACCTTTGCACCCGACTGTCTGCTAGTCTGTATCCAGCTGGGAATATATACAATTCGCAGAAGCCACTGTGGTGTATCGCCCTCTGGCCCAGTATCGCGGATGTTCTATCTGGACAGTCGGCGGCGGATCGGCTCGGGTCCTATTCACCGCTATCTCAGGGAGTACACGCTTATATCGAATATCGATCGACGGGTCGATACCGCCGCTGAAATGAACACTTGTGGTCTGGGTCATATTGTTATCCGTTTTTATAACCTCTCAAAGCAAATTGTCTGTTCGGCTCGAATCAGGCTAGCAGCATCTCAAAACAGGCTTGTTTCGGCTCGGCAGTCAGATGCTTTGCATTTTATCGGTTTCATATCCTTTGATGAATTAAAATATTAACAAAATGGTTTGTGTTGCCGACTTTCTTGTACCTCTGGCGTCCATCTGGCGTCAACCTCGACATTCATAGCGGAGAAACTTGGCTGATGACTTTGAAGAACGTATTTACCAAATTTGGGACGATAGGTGAATAAGCTATGACGGTGAAACTAAGGACAAAGGATCATGAAAAGTGCACTTTGCGTTGTTAGATCACAGTAGATCATTGCTCTGTTCCGTGCGCCGGGTCGAAGTCGCCGTTCAAGTTCCGGGACGCCGCCGCCGGAGTCGCGCACTGCGCGGAGCTGTTCTCGGCGATGGTAAAAAGGACAGTGCTAACGAATTTCAGACGAGCCGCCACGGGCACAATAAATAATCGAGTCGAATATCTATAAGCAAATTATAAAATGGAAAACACATAAGAAGTTGAATTTGCCCATATATATGGCACTACTAGGTTACCATGACACTATGCACGGTCACGGGTCAGCACGCACGTCCGTGAGGCCTGCTTAGCGTGAATGAGAAATGAGAAAACAGATGGCGAATGGAGCAAGGACCAGAAGAGCACACGAGTACCTAATACATGTGATCAGTGGCAGGCCATTATCAGCGCGTGGTGATCGAGCGAGCGGCGGGACGGTCTGTCGGGCTGCCCCCCCCCCCCCTCCCCGCAGGGCCGTCGGTGGTACCGGTTCCCCGCCGCTCTATCCGCGGCCACTGGGAGTGCGATCCGGCCCGTGAGCACACTTCGCTCCACAATGACCATGACAGAGCAGTTCGGCACTCCCAAACCGGACGTAGTCGCCATTAACGGCGGCGTACTCGCTCACGGGACGAGTGAGCGACATCACGCACTTCCACAGCCCGCCCGTGATGCGAGCATTTATTGGCGTGCGGTCGTAACGCTGAAGGTACCGCATGAATGATGAATATGACATCCGTGAATGGTGAGAGGTGCTCAACAGCCGCCACCGTGGCATCTCCCAACTGTCTCTCCTTGGTTTGGCCGCCCCCAGCCTCCGTAGGGAGCAGGCTGGATGGACGCCCCTTCTTGTTTTGTGGACAGGAATCTGATGAGGTGTATGTCCCTCCCCAGACGTTGAACCGGGGACTGACCGCTGTCGTTCTTGTTCTTCCCACAGGAATTTGATGTGGTATATGTCCGCGGGGTCGATTCGTGAGACCAATCCCAAGTGCACCTTCAAGACGGAGATCGCCAACGACCGCGGCGAACCGACCATCCTCGTGCAGCTCGGTCAGTTCTCCGTCAACCCGCCCAGGGGCTCTTGGAGGGGCAGCGGGCCAATGTCTGGTCCGGGATTTAAAATTAATCTAGGTATTGTAAAATCATAGAAACCAACACCCTTTATACCCGACGGAGAATAAATAGTTATCTAGAAATAGAAATAGACTGCGATTATAGATGCCTAGCACTAAGGAGTTTGGTTTTGATTGGCGCACTCCTATGAACATTGAACACAGGATGACACATCTAACCGAGAGTTGAGAACCGGGCCCCGTCGGGTCCGTCGATCTCGCCATGACTCGTTTGCTGATAAGAGCTGATGGGCGCCATCCGCCGGCAGCGACGCCCGGTCCCGCCTCCCCCTCTGACGCCCCGCCCCCCTCCCCGCAGACTCCGACAAGTCCGTGCTCTTCAAGGCGGGCAACCTGACCGAGCTGGAGGTCCTCCAGCTGTGGAATCAGCACATCACTCCCCTGGCCGCCCCCACGGACGGACCCAGCAAGAGCGCAGCAGCCGGCGCGGGCAAGACCAAGGCCGGTAAGGCCCGACTGCGCTGAGTTACATTCTCCGCTCCCACCGCTGTCGCCATGTCCATGTCGCAGAAGAAGTACCAGTCGACGCGGACCATCACGAGCGCCATCTACGGCAGCGTACCGGCCTTCACGGACGTGTTCGATGAGGAGACGTTCTACATCGCGTTCGGCACGCTCTTGCTCGTCACCGTGCTCACGGCCTTCGTGCTCAGCCGATACGTGACGCTGCGAGCCGTCGAGTGACGTTCCGTGATGCCGTCAGTGAGACACCGTGCTGATCTGTGACGCAACGAGCTGACGTGCAGTGGGTACTGTCGGGAGAGGGCGCGGTCTCACTCTCGGCGGTGTACCGGTCGCTGTGACGCTCTGATGCGGCTGTCCCGGCGGTGGCGCGGCTGGGTCAGACTCCGGTCAGCCATGGCACCCCGGCGTTCCCCGCCCCGGCCCCGGCCGCGGCCGAGTGCCCGGCGCCCCTCGCTGTGGTCCATCTCCTGTGGTCTGCGGTCCGTCCCGGCGAGCCGTCCGGCCACCTAGTCAGCCGGGACCCGCTCAGTATCTCGTGTAGTCTCGCTCCAATTCGGTCTGGTGTGTGATTGGGAGATGTGTGCGTGTGTGCATTCTCATTTACATAATATACCTAGATGTGCTCGGTCAGTCGGGTTATTTATCATCATGTTCTTCACAATTGTTAACCAATGACCTATTGTCGCAAGAAAACCACTAGCGATTACTAGTGAATAAGGCACTCTTCGTTCAGTTCGCAGGCTTTTATTCCGAACCTAGACTAAAATGGCACTACGACCGAGGTACGCGACTAAAACTAACAATTTTACCCAACTGAACGCAAAAGCTGCCAACGGTACTATATAATGCATTCATGCCCTCGTGTTTAGCGAGAAAAGGAAGACCTATGACGCCCCCGACTACAGCGGTTCCACCAAAGGAGGCACTTCTATCGACCTATTTATCAGGGAAGTTTTTATCAGCCCGCGCGCGTGTGCCCCCGATGCCTCGGCGGCCGGGGGAGGGGAGGGGGGGGGGGGGAGATGGCCGCAGACGAACGATAGACAGAGCTCGACCTTGGCTCTGATTTCAGCCGACCCGACTACAGACAGAGCTGACAGAGCACGGTAGTTCTGTGCACTATCACTCGGCAGCACACACTGACAGCGGGCGACACGGACGAGATTTGGACAACGGCCTCGCCAGAACCGCCTTCGGTTGCAGCGATCGTGGCACAAACTCCGTATTAATTTACGTTAACACTCGGGATGTTATTAGTACACGATTACGGGCCTACTACGAGGTTCATCTGAAATATACACCGCAAAGGAGCTCCACGAACAGAGTTTCGTGCGTTCTCGTGTATCTAAAGTTCATCTGGAATATTCACCGCGAGCTTCACGAACCACTAGTTTCACGCGTTCTCGTGTATTTCAGACGAACAGTATGATCATTCAGGCGAGTAACCATGGGGTTTCCACATCCCTCAATAACTCTCCTATCACTCAACACAAGATATTACACATCGTCAAGACGTTCATCCAGCACTTCCAGCAGATTTACTCCATACAAATACAACACATTCTCTCCAGTCTGCACACAACCGACCGCGCCTAGTTCCCGCACCCACCAACAGATGCCACCACTACCGCTTCTTCCAGGTGCGTCCCTTTCGCGAGCCCTTCTTGCCCGGCTTGTAGCGCTCTCGCTCCCTGACGTCCCGCGTTAGCAGTCCAGCTGAAAACAGGAACACCGTGTTAGAAGGTACAAATACAGCTAAGAGAGATACAAACGCGGCTAATGACTGGTCAGGGAAGCCTTTTCATCAGGTACGGATGATAGCTATAACTGCTGCTGACTACAAGGCTGTCTAATCCATAGTGCGGCCTCTTGCCCGAAAGGTCTACTGCGTTATCGTCGCGGCGCCATTAACTCACTGAATACCAACATGTCTTGTATGACAAGGACGGCTTACATTACTTGGCTGCATTATTTCCTAATGCATCAGAGATATCTTCCCAGCTCCACGATAAATGCCTAACGGACGCGCCCAGCATCCCACTCAGCCGAAAGATGTCCTAAATCCAGGGGCAGTCTACTATTGCGACCGGTTCCTTACCTAACCGCATCGTCTCCTGCATTTCCTTGTCAACGAAACTGCGCAGCGCCAGCGAAACAGCGTGTCGGACGGCGCCGGCCTGAGAGCTGGGAGCCTGCACCGGGTGCGGCCGCTTCCACGGCTCCGGGACGAAACTGGGGCGGCCAGGAGGGGCGGTCAACACTGGAACGGCACTCCATACCCGGGCACACTGCTTTGTGCTTAGGGGCATAGAGAAGCGACGCAGAGCTCAAGGGGAGATGGCGTGCGCGGTACGAGCGGTGCCGAGCACATAGTGCAGCCAGCCGCGATTCACAAAACGCTGGGAAAGTCAGCTCATATGGAGCGACGGAGACGAGACCATGGCCTCCGTCTGAGTGGGGACTACGGTGCAGCTGGGATGGGACGTACCTGGTGCGTTTTCTGTGTCCGCGCCGCCTCTTGCCGTGGTAGCGCTGCGTGGGCCCGTCATACTCGACCGTGGCCTCCACGTCTACCGAGTCCAGCACACCGGCCACCTGGAGCGGGTACATCACCTGGGGGGAGGGGAGGGGGGGGGCGGCTTAGAGACGGCGACATGGGAAGCAGCACCCTCCGAGCACACTCACAGGACATGGCGGTGATGTGGATAGGTCGAGAGAGCATCATCGGTACAGAGGCGACACGTGGACTGTACTGAATGCCTCCACCGACCAACGATCGCGACTTGACCCATCACCTACCTCCCGCTCACCCTGCCTCTGATCTGACACCTCGTGCATACCCTCTAAGTTCTAGCCTGACACTCATCTGGTTCTCCCTGCCGGACTGACCTGCGCCACGTCCTGGTTGCCGGAGCGTCCGCCGTCGCGGTGGAAGTAGTGCACCAGCGGCAGGCCGTTGACGGTGACCCGGCCCGAGCCGCGGCCGTGCACCACCGCGCGCGCCACCGCCCGCTTCCGGTAACCGGTGGCCTCCATGTAGGGCCGGCCGGCCGAGTCAAACAGCAGCTGGGGACGGTCAGAAGAGTCACACGACAGCTGGGGACGGACCTATTCATTGCGGTAGCCATTACATAAAGTGGATACTCTGCCCTTTTAAAAAATCACACATCTGATCAAACTGTGCCTACATTAACTCGCGCCCTGGGCCCTGTTTCACGGCGGAGCGTGCAGTGCGCTGCGCGCGTCGGCGCGTTGGGTTTTCATGGCAATATCAACAAACTCCCCTCTGACGCTACGCTATGACGTCATCACCGCAAAACGCTAGCACCCCGGCGCCAGCACCATCCGCACGCTAGCAGTATTCGCACTCAAACTTCTGTTCAATTGGTACTAGGTTCTTCAAGGTATCTGTTCCAAACGAGATTTATCATAAGCTAATGGATCGAACGCAACGTCATTCGAGTGACGTCAGGGGTATGCCTCAGCTCCCAGCGCGCTGCAGCGCGCGCAGCGTCGTGCGGTGAAACAGGGCTTTGATGGGGTCTGCCGAGCAACGCGGTCTGATGGGGGGGGCATTTTGCCCCCCCCCCCCTAAGATCTCGAGAACCACGCAACATAGCGACAAGCTGCAAACGGCGTTGGATAGCCCCAACGGGGAACTACCTTCTGACCCAATTTCATTGACCTCGGTGTAACCGATGACGTCACAGGTCAGGTCAAAGGTCGAATTTTCACCGTTTATAGGCATTTCAAGAAATGTCATGTAAAATCGAGTAAAATGCATTTCATTGAAAATCATCGATGGGGAAATGTTCGTCAAACACATATTTTACTATTTGAGGTCACTGATACCAGGTCAGGTCACAGAGGTCAGGTCACTGAGGGTCACAAATTAAAAATATCATGTGATGCATGTTTTATGGTCCATTTTATATGCCAAATGCGAATTATGTGGGACAGGCAGCCGTTGGGGTCAGTTGAGATCATGTTTTGGTGAAGGTCAGTTCAAGGTCAGGTCAAGATCAGGTCAAATTAGGTCAAATTTCAAAATTTATATTTTTGCATAAAATGGGTATCGATTCGATGCAGCTCGTCACGGGGAGTTCAATGGTGGTCTCCGTTTTGCGCTACGTGGTCTAGAATTGCTAAAAATTGAGTTCAAAAGTTTGACGTCATCAATTTTGAAGTTTTTTTCGCTATAATTTGGCCAAAAAAGGAGGTATCGATCTAAAATTTGGTATGTATATCGAAGAACGCAGGGACTATCACATACATTCCGGTTTTTTCGAAATTCGAAAAAAATGAAAATTTTTGAGTTTTTCTAAAAAAAAAATTATTTTTGGGGGTTAAAATCCCAAAGTTTCGAAAATCCGAGATAGCAGTTTTGTAGCGTCGTCTTTTCTCTACACAACCACATAAAGAACTTCAAAATTGCTTGTTAACTGTAGATTTGGTGAGCGTTTCAAGATGTCATGTTTTTTTGCTCATTTTTACTCGAACATGACCTCAGTTTGACCTCAAAACTCCTGACCCAAGGTGAGCTGTGACTTGACATTTTGTGTCAAGGTGTCTAATTGATGCCCGGGAAAGTACCCAAAATTTGGCGGCGCTTTCTCGCTATTTAAGAAAAAACACAGGGGGGGGGGGGGCAAAATGCCCCCCTCCCCATCAGGGCGCGGGTTAAAGGAAAGTAATTACTGACTACAGTAAGTGAGACAGTGACTGTCACCTAAAATGAGCTAAAAAGCGCAACACTCGTACGCATTTCTGCGGAATCGCACGAGCGATCTGGAGTCAAAGGCGCACGTAGCCGAGCCCGTCTGCAACACAGCAGCAGCAACAGTCGTGGGCCGAGTTGTGCAGTCCGGCACCGCGGCGGTCTCACCCAAGGCCGTATAAGTTAGGTAAGATCGTCCGGGCTCGCTAATGTTACAAATCTGCAACACTACGGTGACGTCACCGGGGCATACGCTCCCTGGCTCCATCCGGACCCTGATGCGGTGGCTGGAATCGCTGATAATCGAAAAATTACTGGTGCAATAGCGCTTTTAAATGACTTTAAAAAGGGGGAAAATATGATAGCAAAATAATTATGAGAATCCCTTGTCCTGACTGGGATTGTATGACCCCGCCACCTAGCGGACAACGTGGTAATTAGGGTTGAGCTGGCGATCGCCAGGTGGCTTGTCAGTAAGCTGTCAGCCGCAGACAGGAGAGGGGCCGTCTGCGTCAGGCGCTTAATATTATGTAAACGCCAGATCATGCTCAGGAAAATGCGACACGCTTCAGAACGGTCATTTATCTCGAAAAAGATGCGGTGCCCTGTGGTGATATGGCCCACATGACTCGGGACCCGTAGGCCGTATACGGCCTACGGGTCCCGAGTCATCAGGGGCATTATAAGAGCTGTGGTCACCGGCAGCTCCCAAGGCCCCTACGGACGCGATACATACTTCGAAAATCGCTAGACAAAGGACTCAGGGACGCAGCCAAGGGGGGAGGGGCACACTGGGCTTTAGCCCCTCCCAAGTCTAGCAGGCGCCCTCTGGAAAGACGCCATCCATGGCGCCGAAGGCGCCCTGGATTGCGCCTTCCACGATCATTCTGTGCGCCGATGGCGCCTTTTCAGTGTCCAGCACTCTAGTCGCCCTCGACGGTAAGCCATTGCGGCGTCATCATGCGGTACTGGCGCCCAGATTTACAATTTCATATCTCTTTGAGGGTGAAGATGCACCCACAATCCTGAAATGCCGGATATCCACTCCCAATCTCCTGACCATCTAGCGCCATCGGCTCACCTTCAGCGCCGTTCTGTCTGCTCGGCGCCCTTCTGATCTGTCGGCGCCCTTCTCGCCCTTCAACGCTCTCCTGGCCTGTCGGCACCCTCTTCACATTCGGCGCCCTCCGGGCAGACCAGTTAGCGCCCTCATGGACATTATCACACAGCATTCTCCTGATCTGTCTCGCCCTCCACACTTGTCAGCGCCCTCCTGACCTGGCAGCGCCTATCGTATTATAGCGCCCTCCTCACCGTACAGTGCCCTCCTGACCTGTCGCCATCCTCCTCACTGTATAGCAGCCTCCTAACCATACAAAGCCCTCCAGACCGGCGCCCTCTACGTTCAGCGCCCTCCTGATAAGTCGGTGCCCTTTTCACCGTAGACGGCCCTCCTGATCTGTCGGCGCCCTCCTGACCGTACATCGCCTTCCTCACCTTGTCTGCGCCCTCCTCTTTATACAGTGTCCTCCTGACCTGTCAGCGCCCTCTTCACTCGTATAGTGCCCTTCTCATCGTGCAGCATCCTCCTCAGTCCTCACCATGGGCGCCCTCATGACCTGTCGGCGCTCTCCCCACCATACAGCGCCCTGCTGCCTTGTCGGCGCCCTCTTCACGGACAGCGTTCTCCAGATCTGTCGCAGCCCTTATCACCGTGCAGTGCCCTCCTGACCTGTCAGCGCCCTCCTCGCCTGTCGGCGACATCTTCGCGTTCAGCGCCCTCCTGACCAGCCTGCGCCTTTTGCAACGCATAGCGCCCTCATCACCATGCATCGCCCTCCCGACCAGTCAGCGTCGCCGTTCATCGTACAGCGCCCTCCTAGTCCTGACCTGTCGGCGCCCTCCTCACAACACACCGGCCTTCTGACCGGTAAGCGTTCTCCTCACCATGCAGACAATGCAACACTTGACAATTAGGAAAGCGTTAAGCAGCCTATGCTTAACCCTCGCCGGCACAGGCCATTTTGCGTCATTCGACGGCACAAGGGGGGGGGGGGGGGGGTACGACCCCCCCTCGCGTTTGGCCCCTGATTGAGCTAGAGCTTCGCGGAAAAACGAGCGTGTTGCCCGTCACGAGAGGAAGCCGATGATATCCAATTTTAAGATCCTAGGTCATCGGGTGACCTTCCAGGTCAGGTCAATGACCCAAAAATCAGGAATAACGGGACCTGTTAGAAAGTCGTAAAGTGTGGCTGCTATGGAGTTCTCCGGGGTGCTGATCGCGAATATCGTGTTAGTTTTGATCAGAGATGATGTCTTTAAGCATTTAGACCAGGTCGGGTCAGGTCAGGTCAGGTCAACCGGTAGAGGTCGTGACGGGTATTCGTAATACGTGTCAACCGCCTCTGACAGCTTCGTAACATGTTACGAAGGCACCAAAACTACTTCGTAAATGTTCAAATGGTTGCTAAATTCGAAATCAGCTCCAAAAACTGGCCTAGAAAGATGTAAAACTCGAAAAAGTGAACCGAGGTCACCAAAGGTCAATGACCTGACCTGACCTTCAGGTGACCTTGACATCCACCCTAATGCATAAGAGCAACATCAAATCACATGTTTGAACGTTTGAAACCACGAAAAGCTTGCAAACGCGCGGCTAATGCGAGCCGACATACGCCGAATCGCGATTCCGGCCAAACATGGTCTCGGAAAGTAGGTCACAGGTCAAAGGTCATTTGGGTCAGGGTCATGAAATTTTCAGGATAGGTGTACAATTGATCAATGCGAGGGTACTGAAAGTTTCGTCGCGATCGGCCGCTTTTTACGCTAGTTATTCGCGAAAAAATCTTAAGGGGGGTTGCATCAACTCAACTCCCTGTGCCGGCGAGGGTTAAAGTGATTTTAGGCGCAAAGTAGTAATGAAGCAATTTCCGGAAAGTAAAAGGATGACAACGTTTCCAGCGTTTCCGGAACGTTTCCGGAAAGGAACTTGTTTACAACCGTGACCCTCAAAATCGTATTCAAGGCTAAACTTGCGGGGAAGGCCAGCTGACAAGTGTACGCCCCGGTGACGTCACGGGTAATGTTAAACAGTCGGGCGCCCGGCACATAGGAAAGCTCGGGATGACAGCCCCCTGGTCTCACCCACCTCCGGCACGGTATCTGTCTCGTTGGAGACGCGCAGCATCTTGCGGTATTTGAAGATGAAGTCCTTGTGGTGGTAGGCCAGCGGATGTTCCACCAGTCGGTTCATGGCGCGTACAAACTCCTGGTACTGCACACCGCACATGCAGACACATGAACACGGTCATTGTCAGGGTCCAGAGTAAGAAGACGGTTTGGTGAGAAACTGCGGCGAATAGGCATTTCATCAAAATCATCAGCACATGAAATAATCGTATTATCTCAGGAAAATCTCTGATCGTAGGTCATAAGCCGAATATGATTAAAAGCAGGTGACTCAATAATCAAAGCGTAACTTCAACCGTAAAAACCGTAGCGTCGCTTACCTGAGGTTCTTTGAGGGTTTCCACAAGCATCTTGCCGAGCTCTTCAATGTCTAGCCACTCACTTCCTAGAAGCGAACTGAAATAGTGCAAGAAAAATCATTACAAAAAGTCGTCGAGGGAAATGTTCATGATATTTTGGACGACCAAGTGTCATCTCATTCACAAAGAAAACGAGAGCCAAAGACTAAATCATAAAATTAATGATGGCAAGCTCACTTTTATTGACAACAGTATGCAATCGGCAATAAGATAAAGCTAAGAGCCCAAGAGACCCCAATCCCAGTCAGGGAACTCACAGTTTCTGCGTGGAATCTGGCAGTTTGCCGAGAGCGTCGTTCTTGCCCTGAAGCCGATCGAGCTGGTTCATCTTTTCTACCAGCTCCTGCGAGCCAACGACACAGTATTTTGAATCACGTCACCATGATCGCTTTTCCCTGTTTTTAAAGATACCGTCACAGTCCTACCTCAGCACACATTTAATAGATAGGTAGGTTCCGATGCGCGACGAGACTTAACGTTTAGCGGGAGTACCTGAAAATTTGGCGAATCACTGGAACAGCATCGAATCACTGATTTTCTAGCTCGATGTGTAACCAACTCACGTAGAGTGTCATGTAGAAGTTGGGTTTGAGCGTGTAGAACAGCGTATGGAAGGGTCTGCCCGTGGCGTCGAACTGCGCCGCCTTCTGCTGCGGAAACACCTCGGTCGGGTGCCGCATCTTGGGCCGCGCCTTCTTGTCGAAAATACCAGTCGGAAACAGGTACTCAATAGCGCGCTGAAACAAAATACTTGTCAGCTAGGCAATGGAGGCGCAAGATATCAGTGACTGGCATGATGCTATTTCACAGATGCAGTTCCAAATTCCACGCGTCGTCGGTATCGGTTCCCAAGGAACGCCAATGCGGGTGGTGATGGGCGATAAATGACTGAAACGAGCTCCCCGCCCCGCCCCCTCATCTCGTCCCTTCCCAAACGTAAGGCAGCTCAAGACCAATCTCGATAAAACTGGAGTAAGTTCATTATTTGAGTCCTGACTAAAAACATGTCAGTTGCGTTACTGTCACAACTCACAAGTCACAAGTGACCCACTTTTGCACCCTCGGGCACTGTTCCGTTGAGACCTATCAAGCTATCATTTTTCTGGTGCCATTCTAAAGTTCCATGCAAGTTGAAGTGAGGAAAGGTGTCCATTACTCACATCTACATCCTCCTGTGTGAAGTGCTCTGGATCCTCACCCATCATGTTGGCCAGATGGCGCTTTCCTATTTCAAATTCATGCACCTGCTTGCGCATGAACTCCTCTGTAAAAAAAGATTAAAACGATGCCATGATTCAGTAAAAAGTCCCATTGGACCATCACCAGGCTCACATGTTTCATGGCAGATCCAGGGTAACTCAAGTATCAACACAGGTACCTACATAAGACACGTCTTCGCTGGCCTGTCCAGAGCAACTCACCATGTTTGGTGGCCCGCTCCAGGTACGCCATCATGGCCTTGCTGGTGTTCTTGGCAGGCCTCTGCTGCGCCTGGCCAGCCTGCTCCTGTGGATCAGGGCTGGTCGGACCAGACCGGGCTCCAGCGCTACTCAGTGGCCGGCACACTGTGGGGCACACAGTGCTGGCCGAGAGACGAGTGGCTGGGAGCCGCCACAGTGCCTCCAGCGCTCTCACCCTGCCCAGCGACATGACAGCACCTGCAAAATGTACAACATGGAGAGGAGACAGGTTCAGAGATAGCTCAAATCATGCTCATTTCACATTGGTATAAGTATGGACAACTCAGGGCACTAAAGGACAACTATAGAGACATACCCCACATTCGCTGTCTCTCGGACGATTAAGATTCTACGCAGGGTATATAGATTCTATGTCGCCCGCCCCAGCCAATCCCACCCAAGGTCAGCGGGGGCTCGGCTGCGGTTATGGAACGTGATTGGCCGGATGACGTAGAATCTTCATCGTCCGAGAGACATAGAACGCGGGGATAGGGAACTTGACAAAATGTTAAGTCTGATTCCTCACCCTTTATAGGGATCCAGACTGGCAGGCCTGGTACCAGGTTAAGTTACCAAAAAACCAAACTGTGCTTGTAGGCTTATGTTTTATCTTTTTTTAGGTCTTAACCATAAGTCAAACATCAATATCAATAAATAAAAGGGAACACACCTCAACATGCCCCAACGAAACACACACACACGTTTTTCACACGTTTTTCACAGCCCAATCAAGGTTTAGCTATTTCGGGAACGGACGAATAATGTGGTACCTGCATATTTACGTCTGGACAACGAGTTGCGTTGGAGAGGCCGGAAATAGTGGCGATTTCAGGACCGCAATAATGGACCGTCATTGGAATGATTCTTTTTTAAAACGTGCGTTGTTTTTAGCCGAAATTTAGTTCTAACTATAAAATATTTTGTAATTAGATTTTGGCCGAGAATGAATACCATCAGAGCTAAGTTTTTACTTTTATTGTATTTTGTCCAGAAGCATATAGTGCTGTTTTATTGCAGTTTTTGCGCGTTTGTTACAAAATATGAAGCAAACCTGCAAAAAGTTCCAAGGTGAAGATGATGTATATCGCAAAATATCATATTGACCTCAAGTTCATCCGTTCCTTCCATGATTGACTAGACAGATTTACACATTTCAATTTTATCTTGGATCAAAGGTGTCCGTGTGATCAGTGCCAACTGCCAGAGGTTAACTTGAAGGGAAGCTTGAGCTATGATAATTGCTCTTGTCCATGTCCCTCCACTAAGAAGAATAAGTTATTAAATATTTTGCTTTGTGTATTCCAAGAGGAGAGAGAAGTGGGAACTATTTTCTTTGTGCCTTCATGTCGAATTGAAGATGGATCATTAAATTTTCAAGGCGTTGATCAACCAAGCATTTAGTCTTTCTCGTACATAAGCAGTGGCTAAGAAGAAAAAGTTAATCATACCTGAAGTTAAGTCATCTTACTTCAACTCAAACTTTGCAGCAAGATCCCCAAGGACAGAGGATGTATTGTATACCTATCCTGTAAATCAAAGCATTTTTGTGCTTGCAAAGGCTTAAGTTATTTGTTGTGTGCTCGGAGTGAGGCTATGGGCGTTTTGTTGTATGTTTATGCGGAGATTGAATATAACTGTGACCCTGTGATTGTTTGTATATTTACTACAGTCAAACAGCATATTCAAATAACATACTCACCTAGCTCATAGCTGTATCCCCGCAGGATTTGTACTTGTTGATGTCTCAAGCATGAACAAAGCACTAAACTAGCTTAGTTATCATTTCTCACATTTTTCTGAGCATCTAACATGGCATACAGCAGTGCAGAGCAGCTTCAGAGAAGAAACACTTAAAATGCACAGACTCACAACAGCCACCCAAGGAGCCAGTTCCTCATATTTGGATGTTTCCCTGGATGTGGTTTGGCAAGGTGAGCTAACTGTTATCAAGTTGAAGGTTAGCAGGTAAGATTGAGTTAGGGTGAGTACCTAGTACCTATAACTGGGTGCTAATGCTATGCAGGTCTTGGCTAAGTTGCAAATAAGTGTGATGATTGAGGTTAGGTCAGGTTAGTCACTAGTCAGGTATGAATTGATCAGGTAACATTTTTATGGACACTTGGCAAATTAAAAAAAAACTTAACATGACCTAATATTAGCTAACCCAACTAAACCTACATAACTACTAAACTATAGGTACTGATCACCTATATTGTGCCTACATCTCATACCAAGTCAAAATAAAGTTCCTTTCTGGAAGATTACCCTGGCAGTACTTTTTATCCCAGCCCTGTGAAGAAAACTAATACTTCTCAAGTTCTGAGTCCCTTCTGGCCATCCACAGAAAGAAATGCTGACAGCTTTGCTTTTGTATATTAGACCAATAATCACCATCACGGAACACATGATATGATCACATCGTTGCATGGATTGTCACATTGACAATTTTACTTAAATCCTTTTTCAAGAAATGCAAAGTAATGATGAACATCAAATTAAACATTATAAAGCTGATTTAGTGATCCAAGCTTTCTCTTCCAGTAGCAATAGAATGATCGCCTGTTTCATTTGCCAGACACTGAGTTGCACATTACCATCTGCATAGCAGAGTAAAGCTGCCCGGGTTTGTTTATTCTAGATTTTTTCACTTGGCAGTTAGCACTCATTGATCTTGCTGCTGTAGCCTGTAAGTAATATTTCAATATGCATACCAATACATCAATACGCGTTCATCAGCCAACATTTTCTGGCTTGATACTGCGCGTGTTCTTCAGTATTGATCTCCTGCAATATTATAGCTTGTTTTCGGCCAATAAGCTCTTTTAATTTTACTTTTTCTTGCTGATAAGTCAGCCAGATCAACTTGCGTTTATTAACCAACATTTCCTAACTTCAACCTGATATTACTCAGGACTCACAACTCAGGACTCTTAGCCTCCTGTATACATCAACTTGGGATTGTTTTCAGTCAACATGCTTCTTTAATATGATATAATTCAGTCACAAGAGATTCAAAACTTACAACAAAACGACATACAAGACTCAAGAGTTCGAAAACCACCAGATAAGCTTAAAAAAGGCCTTGGAACGGAGCAGAACGGAGCCAAGTGGTGCTCCATTTGTTTGTTTACAATAATTGTAGTGCTGATGTATAATTTTAGGACTCTAGCGGTCGGCTCATAAAAACTGAAACATTTTCACAAAATCTGTAAGGCAATTAATATTTCTCTGAAAGAACTTAAATATTCAAAAGCCAAACACCATGAAATACAGGAATCAGAACGAAAAAGTAACCCGAAAATCCAGCCTAATAACCAGCTCCTAAAACTGCGGCAAAATCAGCACTTTTCCCCGCAACTCGTTGTCCAGACGTAAATATGCGTGGTGCCTATCATCTATACCAAGCTGCCATATTTATGACGTCAGCGCGAGATATGCCAAACTAAGGACTGCGCGATGTTCGACAAGGCCAAATACCGCAGCTTCGACACAGCGTACATACATTAATTTTCCTTTTAGCGATTATGGATAGGGATGAAAGTAACCATCCACGGGCGATCACCCTTCAAGTCTTGAGCTGTGGATAGATATATTTGTCCGCGAATAGACCAGACAACATATCGATTATCGGCAAACAAATTAATACAGCGCATGTATTACACTCGATTCTATTCTAGTCCTACATGACACTGCGCTGACACTTGCGGCGCATTATCTGGTAGCCTTTGCAACGTCTCGACAGCCTTTGACAATGATGAATCGCTTGGGATTGGCGCCCAGCTCACAGTTCGAGTTCATGGTAGGTGTACACAATACACGTGTATTGTGTACTGCACGGTGGTCCTGTGTGCTAATATAACACCAGCGCCTACCAAGGAGTAGGTTGATCTTGGGTTGATCAGCAAAGATCGCAGCCAATACCAGCGCCGATCCCCGACTGACCACGCCAGGCCAGCCGGCCGGACCATCAACCAATGTGGTCGCTCTCCATCGATAGGCCGAGCAACCACACAGCTCGGCTCGCCGCACTAGCCTACCGGTACCGGATAGCTTGACTCGCCGCACCAGGACCAACCGCACGGCTCAGCCAACGCACACCGCCCTAGATCACAAGGATATACGCACCACATGCTTTTGATGATGCATTTTCGGATACCTGACACACAATAGCGAGAAGCGACCCTGCCAGCCTTAGCCCAGCTCTCGCGGTGTTTGTACGCCCACAGCTGGCGGCTCGAACGTCCAAGACAGTCCCAGGCGCCCTCCTTGGGTCTGACGGCTGACCTACCGAGCCCAACTCTCTTCAATGAAACATGATGGGTTATGTCGACGATATGACCAACATGATCAACACACATAGCAATGACACAGGTGATGAGACACAGAACACTGAAACACCGGCACGCTACTCGTGGATGTGCGAGTAGTAGTCCTGGTAGGCCAAGATGTAGGCCTCCTTCTCGTCGGCCGTCATCCGCGCGATGACGTCATCGGTGACGTCACTGATGGCGATGCGCTCGGCGCCGACCTGGACGGTGGGCGACGTGTCGTCGTCGTCAGAGTCCATGAACTCCTCCACGTCGCTCGCCTCGGCAACAGCTGCACGGGGGACGGGAGGGAAAGTCAGACACATGATTTTGCGACGCACTATCCTTGACGCACAATGTCAGTTAGTGACTGGAATAGGCCGCAGTTTCAAAAGAGAAAACAAAAATGTATCACATAAAAACTATCGACATTTATCAGTTAACGATGATAACGAGAAAATAGTTAGAAAGTCGTGCGCAAAAATCAGGTGACGTTATTATAGCTCGTTTTTTTAGCTCGATCCTCACTGTAAACATCTTTTTGAACACAGCACGAGAATTACTAGCTGAATTACTGAGAAAACTGGTTAGCGCACAGTGTATTAAAGACATGAAAAAAATATTTTCAAAATAAGTTTTGAACACTGATGATGTATTGTTATATAAAAGGTCGTGTGATGTTTTAATCAATTCAGTTATAATTCTTGACAAGTCGTCTATACCTTAGGAGTTGTAACTATAGGCAAATACGAGCAGAGAGTCTGGGAAATAGGAGCGAGGTAGAAATAATTTTGGTAAAAGTTGATCGTCTGTGAAATCATTGTGGCCATTGAGTTTTCTCAGTGTTTCGGCTAGCAATTCTCGTGCTCTTTTCAAAGAGACGTTTACAGTGAGGGTCGAACTTAGAAAAAAACGAACTATAGGTTTTCAGCGATATTCGCCACCAGGAGCAGCCGGCCGATAGCCGTAAGCCGTGCGCCAGTCCGCCCCAGCCGGCACCACTCACGTTTGGCGGCCGGCGGCGCCACCACCTCCGGCTCGCTCTCGTCGCTGCTGTCCTGGCCGGGCACCACGGGCCGGCGGCTCTCGCGAGTTTCGTGCTGCAGCAGCACAGACATGATGTCGTCGCGGCCGCGCTCGTCGCCGCCGGCGCCGGCCGTCTCCGTGTCGGCGGCCGTCTCGGTGGCGTCCGCGTCCTCCGTGATGACGGTGCTCTCCATCATCCAGACGGGCCGCTCCTTGCGCGTCGACTCCGGCGCCGCGGCACCCTCCTCCTCCATGTTGATGTTGACCGTGGTCTCGTCCTGCGGTAAATACATAGAACACGACTGTCAGAAATTCCGCCTACGATAGATAGGGCCCGGGCAGGCTCTTACGATATAAATACGAG